GATCTCGAACTCCTGACCTCAAATGATCCACCCGCCTCAGCTTCCCAAAGTGCTGGGATTACAGGCGTGAAGACGCTGCGCCCAGCCTAAAATAACTTTTGATAACTCCATTAACTGTTATAATCGAGTTCTGCCTTCAGATTGTCACAATTTAGAAACAAAGTTACTAAAGACAAAATTAAAACAGTTCACCCTCTGCCCTCACCCCAAGAAATTAAAAAAATTCATCATGTCAGAGCCAAGAAATATGGCAGGATTATTATTCCTTAGAATATATAACACTAAATTTTCTTTCGAGTTATCCAAGATGCTGATGGCGGAAGTGGAGAAGTGCGATTTGTGTAGATGGCCCATTTTGCAGGTGTTTTAACTGAAACAAGCCTTAGTAAAGATCTTTTATAGAAAATTATGTCAACCATTCTGGCCCTCAATCTATGCTTAGTCTTACTTAAGGGTCATGCTGTTTACTCTGCCAAAATTAATGAAAGTAACTTCTGAACTTAGAATGGAAGCAGATCTGCGTTTGTAAATACACATCACAGACCTCACGGACATCATTTTCCTTCATGATGTGTCTTGTAATGTAGCGAATAGAATCGAGCGCAGTTTCCAATGTGTTTCTAGAAGATTCTGGTCCACTACCACTCTCAGTTTCCTCTTTCTGAGTGAAGTACCTATCTACATGACTTCTCATGCAAAGCAGTTTGGGAAGCTTGTGAAGAAATATCTTGCGGACCCAAGGCGCCATGGCATTATGTGTTGAGGAAGAACGATGATGAATGTTGATAGCGAAGACGGTTACCATAATTGACAGTGTCACAAAAATCATAGTAAATACCAGATACTCTCCAATCAGAGGTATGACTTTTGAAGATGAGGGTATGATCTCTTCAATAACCAGAAGGAAGACAGTCAAAGACACAAGTACTGAAGTGCAGAGACAAATCTTTTCACCTTCATTTGAAGGAAGATAGAAGACAAGTACAGTTAAAAATGATAGCCCAATACAGGGTATTATAAGGAACAAGGTATAAAAGAGAGGCAGGCGCTTGATTACAAATGAGTAAGTGACATATGGATACCAGCAACAGCTGTCGGTTCTGTTTCCTTTGCTCCCCGTTGCACTCACAATTTCCCATTCTCCATTATCAAAAAAATCTCTCTTGTCTACATCTTGGTCCTCCAGAATTATATCAACCTGTGATCCATCGTAAGTCCAAGAACCAAATTTCATGGAACAGTTCTGCAGGTCAAATGGGAAAAACGTGACATCTATGGTACAGGAACTTTTGTAGTTTGCTGGTGGAGTCCAGGTGACAGTGCCATTGTACCTGACGACTGTTTTCGTACTGGTCCCTTCAAAACGTCCATCTGCACTAAAATACACACATAGACAGTAACAATGCAGAAATTAAACAATGCACATGAATTGTATTAATATAAGCCTAATATAAATGCAGGCCTATCACTGATTGCATGAAATACTTTTTAAATTACTATACTTCAGATAAGATATACCTGCTACACAGAATATCTGCTACACAGATACTCCTGTTCCAGGAATATATTCCTTAAATATCTAACTCTATGAGAACTGAACCCCTTCTTCTGCATCTACTCCAGAACTGACAAATCTCTATTTCACAGAAGCCTGAGATTCTAATGATTGAAAAGACCTCACCTTACACACAAAACAGACTCAGGCTGTTTACACAATGGGCACGCATACAGCCAGAACCTGAATCCACATTCCTAGACTCCCTGCACAGTGCTCTTCTTCCTTCATCACAAATACTGGCCGTTTTTTACTTTGATGGGGAAAAAGACCATCAACACCAAGCTGGGCATGACCCTGAAAAGCAGCTGTGCCTCTCAAGCTCTCCCACCAAGTGAATTCATATACTAGAAAAGTCTAGCAGGAAAGCACACCACCAACGTAAGATTTCTTTAAAATGTTGCTCTTTGTCTTCAAATTAATGTGGTTTTTGCACACTATTCTGTAATATATCCATGTTTAATATAAAAATGTTTCCAATTACTGAAAATAAAATGATGCTCCAGGAAGCTGCATCATGTGTCCTTACAAGCTTTGTTCACTTCTTAAGAAGCATGGAAGGCCGGGCGCGGTGGCTCAAGCCTGTAATCCCAGCACTTTGGGAGGCCGAGACGGGCGGATCACGAGGTCAGGAGATCGAGACCATCCTGGCTA